ATTATTTATTACTAATTTCTAATGAACTTATTTTTTAAAATATAATTATAATATAACGGTATATGTTATTTTTATCAATAATTTTAATAAAAATATGGTATTTACACATATTCAAAAACTAAATATTATTTTTACTACTAACGTTATTTTTTGTGTCAACAAACAACTAATAATTAAATACATATTATGGATTACTATAATTTATATTTAATATATTTTTAAACAACTAATTATAAAATAATAACAATTATATTATATAATTTTTCATAACATTATCTAAAATTTTATAGCTAACAAAATATAGAAATTAATTTTTTTAAATATTAAAAAACAAAAAAGTAATTGTGCATCTCCGCTAGAATGAACATAATATCAACTCTCTTCTTCAGGACCTCCACCGACTGCCACCCACCGTCACCTACTCAACCAGAAAATCTACACCTGCACCGTAATCTCAATATAAGATGCATGCAATCTCATATTTAAAAACTAAATTATATTCAATTTATTATTTCTTTTACCTTATAACAATTTTTTCTTCAAATTTCTAAAAACTCTGAGCCAACAAACGTGCCTAATGCTTCTTCTTTTTTTCTAGGAGCCTGAAATGAATGTTCTGCAACTGAGAAGCTAACGGAGAAGAAGAAAAGAGGAAGAAGGAGCCACGCCCAAACAGTTAAATTGTAACACCTTAAATTTAATTTCAATTAAATAATAATTTCACAAATCGGATAACCAAATTTTCATAAAAGATTTCGATATAAGTGAAGAGTTACAAATTAATATCAAATAACTGCTACAGAACTAGTTCAATTACAACAATTTTAAAATAAAATCTAAGTCCTATAGCAGTCCATCCATCCCTTCACTGAGTCCGGTGCTGATCATCTTGATTACCTGAAAAATGAATGTAAGGGTGAGTACTCTACACTATCCAAAAACACACAGTCAACATAGAGTCTCACCTCCAGTACTTTTCCAATACATTAAACAATTACATTCACAAGTAGCATTCCACGTCTATAAGTATAATTCATAAACTCATGCATATGTACGTCAGCCATATTCACTGCAGCACTGTGATTACAGATTTATACCATGAATGGTCGCCGGTTAACCCCGCCTCACGGATACCACGTGGGTATTCACAGGTCGGAGGTCTAGTCAGGAAGAGAGTGTGTGGCCTGTGGTGCACCCGTTCCGCAGTTGGTGTCACCACCACTCCTTCTTCTCCTAAGGTATTTCTACCATCCTCATCTCCCACATCCCCAGTGTATCGCTAAACTATTCACAGCACATTACAACGGCGCTAACACGTTCATTCACACTTATTTCATTCATGCATGCAATAGTTATGCTTACACACGGCACACAGCCTACATGGCACTATGCTCACATTCATTTCACATAACACGGCCCATAGCCCACATTTATTCACAATATTATTAATTCACCAATCAATGGCATTCCATCACACACAATTACCCTCACGGGGCCCAATTATTCTATCACACATCACATTGCATATCAATTTCCATCAAACACACAATTTCTATCTTCTATCTCAGCCACATTGCATTAATTATCAAAACACACAAGAATTACAATACATTGAGATAGGGTAGAGTCCCCCTTACCTTGGATTGACGTCCCACACTCAAATTCGACCATGGACGTGCTCCCTACATAGATTTTGGCCTAAAATACATGGAAAAACTCCATGAGAACTCCAAGAAATCGAGAAACAGAGAAAAAGGGATGAGAAACGGAACTCTAACTATTAAAACTCACCTCCAAGCGTTTCCTACACGGATTCAACCTTCAATCAAGCTCCTGAATGGCTTTGGAGGCAATTTAATCGGTGGAAAAGTGTTATGGGTCGAGGGATTCGAAGGGATTTTTGAGAAATAACTTCTCAAATCCTAAACCTCCTTTAAATCTTTTTCTGGTCACGACACTCTCGCTACAGCCCTCGCTGCAGCGACACACCCTCACACTACAGTGAAAATATCAGACGAAACTGCACCCTGGTTTCTGCAGAATTTCGCTACAGCAGACCCTCTTGCTACAGCGAGACTGCATCCAGAAATGCACCATAAACTGTCGCTACAACAAGACGTCTTTCGCTACAGTGAGAAGGCGACAGTTCTGGTCCTTCATCCTAGGGCCCTTTCGTTACAGCAAGAATCCTCTTGCCATCACGCCCTGCACTTAGGCACTTAGCCCATCTTAACCCTATACAGTCATGCATACACATAAATACACACATTCATGTACTTAATACACATAAACATCATTATCAAATAAATCAACACATATATGAATATATATATATATATATATATACATATATATAATAATAATAATTAATATTACCAAAATTCGGGGCGTTACACAAACTGCAATGCCACGTGGACTAATCACGGTTGTGTCATCCCTGACGCAGCTGACACTGAAGTCGGCTCTGGACCAGCCGACACTAAAGACGACTCTTGACTAGCTGACACTAAAGGCGGCTCTGGATCAGCCGACACTGAAGACGGCTATGAATCAGCCGACACTCCTATAATTTACACACGTGTCTCATTTTCTTCCCTATTCGTTGATTGTTTTTGAATTATTTTAAATTTTTTTTTGCGTTTAATTGGTGTCGTCCAGAAGAGGGACGATTTTCTTGCCACGTGGACCCAACCCCAGACCGAGAATTTGTTTTCATGAAACTCTATTTGGATTTTTTTTTAAAATTAACCCTAAAAAGGAAAAAAAAAATCTTTATTTTACAACATTTTATTACTTTTCGACAGATACACTTTACTATGAACAACTCTCTTAATAATAGAAGCAAATAACAGCAAAAGAACTTTATAGGAGAAACTCTATTTTTTTTTTTCTTCTCCAAATTTTTCTTTGTATGTAACACTCGAAATAGGATGCATTAGTCCTATGGAGAAGGCTTGTATTTATACGTAAAGCCTTAGCATTTCATCTCCACATTCTGCCACCCAAATTGGAGGAGACTTCTTCTCACCTTCAGTGGTAGCAAGAAAATAGGAAAACATACTCTACTAATTTTCTTTTATTTGTATTTACTGCTATTAACTCATTCATGCCACAAAAGTGACTTTACTTACGGCTATAACATTCGTCACCTCTTTCATCTTTGTTGTTGGCATATGGCATAAGTTGCACAGCCCAAATCCAAAGGCCTCAACAAATAGAAGACTTTGAATCTACATTTTTTAGTTTTAAAGAAGAGAAATAAATATAATTAGAGAAAGAAAAGGTAAGAGTTTGATTCGGTATGCACAGATACAGTGAAATCAAAAGATATTTATATATATATATTCATGTATCAAACAGTTAAATTTGGTTACCAATGGATACAAAATCAAGCAACCGAATCTGACTATGTGCAACTGATGTTTAACTACTTTTTATTTATTTGTGCTGTTGACTACTCGTCCAAACCCACCCAAATAGCTAAAAATGTGAGTCGATTATTTCAAATATGGCAGTCCACCCCTGTTATGCACAACCTAAAAGGTAGTATATTTATAATTTACTTTCAACCATAATCATTTTTATTTACATAAAATTTCTCCACCTAATATTGCCTAAAAGTAGACCTTCCGTTCCTATTTACAAGTTTCTTTCAATTAAATTCCATGTATTAAAGAAAGTTATTAATATTAGGTAATGTATTAATTTTGAATAAATAATTATAATATTTTATGTTTATTTTCATTTAATGTTAGATTCGGTTATCACATTAATTATTAAAAAATTTAAAAAATAATATTACAAAGGATAGATAAGAGAAAAAATAATAAATACTTAGAATTTATTAAGAAAATCTTATATTAAGGATCATAATTTTTTTTAAATTATAAAAAAAATTGAGGAAATATGGCAATTAGCAATTTGATAAATAAACAAATAAATAGAACCAGAAAAAGGAAAATCATATAGCAATATGTAATGAGTATTTAATTTTTTAAAAATCATTTGTGTCGATTCTAGTTGCATCATCTCACCTAAACTTCGTAAATGTTTAGATTTTATTTTATTTTTAATAAAAAGCTTATAGATTGTCTGCCAAAAAGGTTCTCACATCGACAAATGATTTGAAGCCACATTCATGTGGGATAAGATTCTAATTTTACCAGCTAGAATAACCTTTGTTAGCAGATATTTAGATATTTAAACACAAATTCATTTGACAATTAAAATTTTGTAAAAAAAAATGAAAAGATTAAAATTAAGAAAAACCAAGTTAACTATTTTCACTAAAAAAACACCTAGTAATATATAACATAAGTTTAACAATATTAACATCTAAAACTGTATTTACAAAATTTTAAAATTATAAGAACCTAATTTAAAATACAGAAGAATTATAAAAGCTTAATTAAAAACTTAATAAAACCAAAAAGATTTATTATGATCCTATATGTTAAGGTGAGATACTTAATTATAGCAAATTGGTATGGAATAGGGTGAAAACAATCACTACGTAGAATATTCATATAGAAGATAATAGGAGGAACATGCAAGAATTATTGTGACGAATGTAAAAGAACCTGAACTTTATCTCTGTTTCTTTTTTTCTTTTGTTCTGTACCTATCTCATTCTTTGTTCCTTGTTAATATTACTAGTAATGAACAAGACACATTTCTAACTTATTTGGATGCCTGTTGAAAATGCTGGAATCAATTTTGAACATTTTGATGAACGACTTCAATTCCAACAGTCGAGTTAGAGGTAGAATAAAACTCTTAAGTTCTAGCAAAATCGATTTTGACTTTTGCAAAGTATTTAACGCGCTTGGTTCTGCATAAAAAAGAAATCAGTAAATGTGCGTTTAATTTTCTAACACTATACTGTGCTGAGTTGAAATTAAGTCGCTTTTTATATATCTATCCTTCAATTAAACACGCCATTAGTGGATAAATAAAAGCAACATTTAAGCATTGAAAAATGCGTGAACAAGTTGCTTTAACTCAAGTTTGTTAACTAATTCTATCAAATGTAAAAAACTTCCATTATCATAATACACTTAAATAATATATTTACAAGCAAATGGTAATCACTTCCTTTAATCAAATACAAAATCATAATAATCTTATTTACTATCTACCTAGATCTGAATGTGTCAAATTCGTCAATTCTGCTCTTCATTCCTTCATCTTCAGAGGTCATTACAGTTGTTAGTCTTGGTTAGGTCTCAGGCTAATTCAACTTGACTCAGTTGATTAGTAAATTCCACCACTCAACCATGCCTGCTGACAGTTTAGCTCGCTGTAGATGATTCTTTAGATTTTTCTATCACCGTGTCCTTTTTGTCTGAGTTGCTTGTCTCGCCAGTTTGTGTTTGACTAGTTTGTGGCTGAGTTGAAACCTGAGTATCTGAAGCAATTCCCAGAACAACCAGTATAGCCCTGAACACAAATTCAACGACTCAGAATAAATATTGTTGGCAAACACAATAAACAAAGTGCACCCCCCCCCCCCTTTCTGTTTTTTTAAGAAGAAACAAAAAAACATAATCCACCCTCAAAATGAAATATGAATAGGGCAGAGGGGGATATAAAAGATGGTAAAATTCAAGGCATCGTTATGCATAATGAATTCATTAACCTGGGAAGTTTAGATTGTATATCCGGCTGGCTAGCATGAGCAATCAATGGTGCCTTTAGGGCTGCAATTTTATTTAATGCACTTTCCAATTGTGCTGGAGGCAGCTGCTTGCAAGCATACAACATCAGAAAAAGTATTAGAAGACATTTTCTAAAATTTAAAAGGTTTTCAGAAAGACCATCCAAAATTCAGGAAAGGGCATAAGAATAATGGAACACTTGAACCCAAAAATAATAGGATATATAGTATGCATTTTTTTCTTATTCCTTTTTAGGTTCCCTTTTGCTAAAACTTCCTCATCCAAAGAAAAAATATTCTAAAATAAATTAGTCAAAAATAAATAAAGGAAAATGCAATGACATCACTTAAGGTGATAATTAAATGTGAGAAATATATTATTTAAAAAAGAAATAAAAATTAAATGCATTTTTCATTTTATTTAAACTCTTCTCAAAGACATTGAATGTCATCTAAAATATTTTAAAGAACAGAGACCATGCAACCCTCCTCACTTCAAAAAGGTAAGTAAATAAATAATAATCTAACGACTGCAGTCATATTACCATATTGTATAATTAATCCAGCACACATAGAGCTCCACGAATAGTTCACAAGGAAATGTAAAAAAGTCTTGTAACTTAAAAGAACAAAGTATAATTTGAGAGTAAGGAAGGGCAGAAGTATGACATCACTCCGTTGTGTTGAATCTAAGTTGGAGCTTATAATTTGGAAACGAATACTGGTTACAATGAACGCAGCATAGTATTCTTAAACATTATACTTGTATCGACTAGTTGTGATGGGCTTGGTAGTTTTCATGAACTCATGGGTTCAAATCTCATTGCCACTGATGTAACCAATACACACAACATTAATACTAGAAATTATGAGAATGCTGTTGCTACTGTATCTCAGATTTCTTGTCAGCCCCTTGATGAATCTTCCTATATGATACTAATAACTGATATTTTCATCCTTCTTGAAGTTAGACATACATCATATAAAATAGGTATGCAAGGGTGCAATGATGAAGTATGACAACGAAAATTATTTCAGAACATTATATGATGGATGTTAAGATGTCCTATAACTGCTAAAAATACAGTCAAAATACTCCATAACCCTCCTCCTTCAAGCTAACTTTTGGGAGAGAGTTGAAGTCCAATTTTCTTGGAAGTCGCCTACAAATATCTAGTCCTGTTGGATCACCTGCAAATATCCTAAGCTTACAAACTTCACACACTAGATGTCCAGTCTTGAGTGTCAAAGGATGTTTTAATGCTCTTTATAAGACTTTCTAACCCTCCTTTTTCGAGCTAACTTTTGGGAATGAGTTAGGCCCAATTTTCTAATAATATATAGATAAAAAAATGAATATCTAAATCACATAATTTAATTAAATATAAACTTAAAAGTTATAGATTGAAGATTCAATAGAAAACATAATTAGTCAAACTATCCATGTAGAGATAAGAGAACACAAATGGAAGAACATTTTTTGAAAAAAATTAAAAAGATCAAGAAAAGTTATCCGACTTTAATTGTATGTAAAGTACTTTGCAATAAATAACACTGAAGTATTAGTTATAGTTCATAGTGTTTGGATTTATAGTTGGATAGATGAAACTTAGACCCTTACCATGTTTAATAGATTTTCTATAAAATATGATATGATATTCATTAATTTTTAAAAAATCATTAAAAAATTAATTTTATACCATTTTACATAAAAAAAGTTAATAAATGTTTTATTAAACTATTTTATTTTAATATATTATATATTATGAATAAAGTTGAAAATGAATTTTAATAAAATTATTTTTAGGTAGTAACACAATTAAAATGTTTATTTAAATTAACCTCACTTAGATTTATATTGAAATGAGTAATTTTGTCAAAAGATATAAAAATTCATTTCTAGTGCTAAACGTGAACCAAAACTGAAACTGCAGCTAGCTCACGAAGTATCAAGAGAACAGAGAATGCGAAACACCAACTGAAACAGGCAAACAGTAGCTCATAAAGCACCAAAACAAAAAATGCAAACCACCCATGCAGAGAACACCCAAGGTCAGAGAACATGAACATGGAGAACGCAGACCACCCACACAAAAACACACCTAGAGAATGTGAACTACCGATGCAGAAGTGCCCAACAGAGTCACCCACGCAGAAGCACAAACACGAAGATGCAGTCACGCAGGAAGTGGTCACCGCATGCGATATGGTTCTAATAGTATATGTTAAAATGTCTCACATTATCTAGAATTAGAGCTAGAATATTCCTTATAAGGGCTACGGTAGTCCTCTTTATATGAGCTAACTTTTGAGAGTGAGTGACCCAATTTTCTTAACATGGTACCAGAGCTTATCAAGTTTGAATGTTGAGTTGCCCACAGATGTCCAGTTCTGCAAATTTCACGCACCAAATGTCCAATTTTGGACGTGAGGGGGCTGTTAAGATGTCTCACATTGGCTAGGACTAGAGCCAAAATATTCCTTATAAAAACTAGGGTAGTTCTCTTCCTATGAGCCAACTTTTCACAGTGAATTAGGCCCAAGTTTCTTAATGAAAACCAGGTTATTTTTTAGCTGGGTCATTATATCCGACCTAAACAACCAGAATCGGATCGGATTGTAGATGCCACGATCTTACAAGAAAAGATTGCAATCCTGAGCTATCTTGGCCGACTCTAATCCTGTTTGCGATCCAAATTGTGGAGGCTGAGCAAGATTGTGTGATCTCACAATTAAGATCGCGATCTTGACAACATTGCCCACAACAATGGGCCTCCAATCAAGGTGTAAAGGAGAAAGAAGAAATGGAAAGGGAATATAATTGAGAAACAAATTTGGTTAGAGAGAATGTGTATGGATCTAACAATGGGTAACTTTCATGAGGAGATTGGAGATGAAGGTGTTCTGGAAATTTTGGGTTATGGCTGTTGCCCTTGGGGCTGAGAATCCCTTCTCTGATACATTTTCTGTTTTAGTATTTCCTTTCTTGAGTATGTGTTTGATACTCATTACCAGTATAATCAAATTCTGGTAGCGGTTTTCTCTCAGTGAATCTTGTTAGACAATAAAAGTCTCACATTGGTGGGTTAGCAATAAATTGTAAGGTATATAAGCAAGAGGAGCCATGAGTTTAAATAGCCAAGGCTTTTTAGACAAACAGACTACTCAACTGAAGTCAATTCTCTCCACACACTTAAATTGGGCTCACAATTAAGTTCTAATAAAATGAGTAAACACAGAAAACAATACCTGAAGCAAAATGTCAAATGATTGTGGTTTTGTCAACTGCACACACTTCAAGAATCCCACCCACAACTTTGGGTATTTCCATATCTGCAGCAATTCATTAAGTGACATATAAGTGCACTAAAAAAATGAATTAATTACCAAAAAAGTATTATATACATACTCACCTGCTTGGTCACAAGGCGAGAAAGAATTCCCATGATAAAGTCCACCTATAGCAATTAATATAACTCAATAGTTTGTACAAATGGATAAATCAAACAATAAGAACAGACAACTAGGAAGGAGGGTTGACTCTTGGAAAATAAGGAATTAAATCAATCAAAGGTAGCTCTCAAAAGGGAAAAGATAAACAGCAAAGCGTTAATGAATATCTACTATAGTGCTTCAAAACTTTAGTTATATGCATAAGTAGTAAACAATCAACTACCAGTTGGATTCCTGAATTCTGGTACACAATAAACCATCAAACATGTTTCTTTGCATTATTACATTTCTGTGGATAAGTAGGTTTATTACCAGAGTTGGAAAAGCACCAATTGCTTGTAATACTGTACGCATGAACAGTAAAGGAGGAGGAATCTGCTCAACCTGCAGGGAACAGCATTTAAGTTGTGATGTCAAGTTGAATATGCAGTCCAAATATATAAAACAATTTCCATATATCACACCAATTGATTCAAAACTCTGGCAAGAACTTCTTGAGTAAAAACTTGCCGCTGCTCAAAGCAAGCATTGCATGCATCTGTGACCTGCATATAAACACTTAGTTATGCAAAATGTATCGTCATTGTTTGAATAAACCTAATAAATAAACCAATGATCATAAGACACCTACCTTTTTTAAGGGAATTCCGTCTCTTTCAGGATCAATTCCATGAATAGCAATTAAAACTTCAGCCGGAGTGAGCACTGGACCAGATTGTGATGATCCCTGTGCAACAACTCTGCGATTAATTCAATTACAAACATGCCCTCACAGTTCAGAACTCTTTTTATTTATATTAGAATACCGTATATGGTCGAGGATTCGAAAGAGTAGGTTAATGTTAAACTTGAGTTGTAGAGGGAGACTTTAGAATCTAAGAGTTTTCGCTTGGGTAGAAGTAAGACAGTGTACATGCATTATAGGTTTAGCAAAAAACAAGATGAGGAGCATACGTTGAAAGTTAAACTTGGAGAGAATATTATACCACAAGTTTCTAGTTTTAGGTACTTGGAATCAATTATACAAAATGATGGAGAAATTAATAAAGATGTTACTAACAAAAAACAAGCTAGGTGGTTACAATGAAGAAAAGTATCAAAAGTTATTTGTGACCATAAAGTACCTATCAAGTTGAAAGAAAAATTTTATCATACTGCAATGTGATCTGCTATCTTATATGGTAGTGAATGTTAGGCCTTAAAAGGAATAATATGAGAAAAAGGTGAAAGTGGCAGAAATGAAACTACTAAGGTGAATGAGTGGACACACGAAAAATGATAGGATATAAAATAATAGTATATGAGTGAATATTAGAGTAGCATCTATAATGGAAAAAATGACTGAAAATCGTCTAAAGTGGTTTAGTCATGTGCAGAGAAAACCTTTAGAAGCATCAGTAAAGAGAATAAATTGCATAACTTTTAGTTAGGTAATGATGGTTCGAGGGAGACCCAAAAAACTTTAGACAAAGTTATTAAGAGAGACTTTTTGATTAACTAAATTTTTAAAGATTTGATTCTTGACCAAGCTTAATGACATTATGTGATCCATGTAGTCGACCTCAGTTAGTGGGATAAGACTTGGTTGTTGTTGTTGTATTGTAGAGTGTATTTCATGCAAGCTTTGTTGATCATGAAAATTAACTCCTAAATACTACCAAGTTCTAAATTTCATATGTAGAGCTAATCCTAACAAATAAGGTATTTTTATTGGATTTTTATGAGAAATTAATTAGAAAAACAATATTATTTAGAAGGTGCAAAGTCTAAAGAAACTTAGACAAATAAAAGTACTTGCAAGGTCAATAGTGTCCATGAAGAATACTTGTTATAGTAAAATGTCAGGAGTTTGCTGAAGGATGGACATAACCTATGTGGGGTGCATTCAATAAGTTGTTTCTTGAACTAAGTTAGTTAGTAAAAAAGGACCAAGTATCTAAAACTTTTGCAAGTGTTCACTTCTAGGCATTTGATTTCTAAACAATTTTATAACTCATTTGGACTTTTCAGCTTGTTTCAGTGAGGGTTTTGCTGTGAACTTTGAAAACAAAATTCCACCTCCTTGTGTTTTCCCTGTGTATCTCAATTACAACTTCAAATGCTTCAAAGCTTACATTCCATGTACTGGGTTCTAGCTCCACTTAAGCTTTAAGTGATGTCCCTGAGTCCAACATAGACTTGCATTCCATATACTGTTCTACTGACTAATTATTGTAAGGAAGAAATAGTACCTGCAATATGCGACCAAGTGCTGCTTGGAACTTCTCCAAAGGAAGATTCACAATGTGAGGAAAAATCGGCATTACCTGTCAAAAGAATTGTTAAAATATGTGCACCGAATGAAAAGAGATGCCATTCAAGATAATTAAAAGGAAAAAGCAATAACAATATACCTAAGATAAATAATTGTTAAATCAAATCCATTGATGGCTTCAAAATTTTTCTTGATACAAACAAATAACAATTTAAAAAACAATTAAATTTACATCCAATTTAAAGAAAAATAGGAAGAACCTCGTCATTTGATAGGAATGGTAATATCGGAATAAGAACCTCTGCATCCTGTAAAAGATCAACCATGTATTAACCAGAATAACTAGTTTCACTGTGAAACTGGTAAGGTAAGATTATAATACCTTAAGTTTTGAATCATGCAACCTTTTCACAGTAAATACTAAATCCTTAGAAGGGGTCGTACCATCTGTAAGTGTATGCAACACCTGACATGATTAATATAAAATTATCAACATTCAACATATTATTAAAAAATTCAACACTGGTTAAAAATTATATAACGTAAAACAGTACACCTGCATTAAAAGATTCTCGCTTCCATTTGGGGGATCAGAAATAATTTCAAGGAGATCTGAAGATGAGCCCATTGTCCGCACTAGTATTGGAATTTGACGATGTACTGCCTGCAGCATACAACCAACAATATAACCTAGTGACAGAATAGCAAAAGTTGACAATATCCACTAGATCTCAAATTCCAAAAACTGAAACCTGTTTCACTGCCTTTGATGTGCTTCTATAGATGACAAATATTTGGCGAAAAAGAGAATGTTTCTGTCATCGCAGAGCATCAGTATGTTACGTATCTTACGTTCAATCAAATAACAAGACATAAGTAACAAAACATTAGAAACATTGAAGGATTTATATTAGGAAATAAAACAATACCTTCGTACACAAAGCAAAGTACAATGACATGCACCTCTGAGCCTCAGAAACTGAAACTGGCGAGACACTCTCAGATGAGCATGGTTGATGATTATCTGAGACATCTTTAGTGTTGCCACTTAATGATGATTGTTCATTTGAAACCTTTTCAATATCAGGACCCTGAACATGAAAAAGAGAAAAAAAAAAAAAAACATATCATATGTAGTATACAACAATAAAAGATAGCACAAACTTCAGTCAACAGGACTATAATCAGAAAAAGTAAATTCATAAGCATGTGAATACCTTCTGTGAATCAACAATGGACCCTTCAGCATCAGTTGCCTCAGATGCATCAGCACTCATCACTGAGAAAAGCATTTCTTTGGCAAAATCTTCTATTTTCAGAGAAATGGATGGCAAAGGATAAAGCTTATTTGCCACCTGCAAGAAGAGCTCAAAATGTAAGATATGCACTCCTGCAGTCAACTAAATATTTCAACAGGAATTTATGCTTAACGTACCAGACGTATTGCCTTCATTCGTACTTCTTCCATGTGATGCACTGCACTCTTTCATTGGAAAAAGAAAAATTCAAAATTGAGATCGAATGTGTGATCAAGAAAATAACAATTACTAAGGCAAAAAAGGTTTAAAAACTCAGTTTCTAAAAATCAAGACAAGCATGAGACAATATCATTAAGCCACCCACTTAAAAGTTCAATTTAAACATATGAGGAAAGCAAAACAACGATAACAGAAGAATTATTGTTGTAAATCTGTGATGTAAACATATGATTGATGCTGCCTATAATTCAGAAACTGATTCTCTCTCATAATTATTGGATATTTCCATAATTAGGCCAAAGAATATTTTGTAGATAATTACCCCGATACCGTACAGATTTATTCTTTCCCAGTTACTAGTTTTAGGATTATTTTTCCCTATAAATAGATTTACAAATTCTGTAAATGAATTATCAAGCAATAATACATTCTTTTCTCATATGCTCTGTTTCTGCTTTGTTCTCAACTTGGTATTAGAGCTCCTGATCTTGGGGGTTCTGCTTCCACTAAATTTGAAACCACCTTAATTGCGAACTGTTGCACCTCAATGTGCATTTTTTTCTCTCTTCTCATGGTTAATGATGACCAGATATCTACAACTCAACCCATAGCTGTTCTGGGCCCCAATGATCTTCCCATATTGTAGGTTCATATCGCCTTGATAGACATTCATATGCACAACACTTGGGAGCGTAAGATCAATCACATTGAAGGGCAAGTGCCAGGAAGGCTGACCCTAAGCTTGAGGCTTCGGAAGATGAAGATGCACTCATATTGACATGGCTATGGCATTCTATGATTCCAGAAATCAGCAAGAACTGCATGTCTTTTTGCCCAATACTATGGAGATATGGGATAATTTGTGTGAAACATACTCTATGAAACAGGATGTGGCTGCCTGTTATGAGTTGGAAAATAAGATTTTCAATACAAAGCAGCGAACTCTCTAGATGACTAATTACTATGGGATTCTAAATGGGCTTTTGATCGAGTTGAACCAGTACCAGAACCTGAATATGATCCCATTCAGATTCAAATTTTGGGAAAGGAGAAACTTCCATCACTTACAGAAGTATTTTACACTGTCCGTGGTAAGAAAAGTTGTAGGGTGGCCATGTTAGAAGAGAAATTTAGTGAGGGCTCAGCGTTGGCCTCGAGAAAAACACCCACTGGCAGAACTTTTGGGAAGCCCAACCAAGAGGATCATTGGTGCTTATATTGTAGGAAAACTGGCCACACTAAGGAGACTTGATTTAAGCTACATGGAAACGACAAGGTTCTTAGCCATTTTGGGGGATTGAAAGGACGAGGTCCAATCTAGACAATGTTAATACAGATACAGCACCACCTACGGAAATTCCTGCCCCTTCCAAATCTGAGCTAGAACAATTACAAGCACAAGCACTCATTGCCTCCTCCCCAAGTAAGCCATCCCATACATGATCTCTTGTCATGAATGGTAAAAATTCCAATTTTTCATCATTTAATACTTCTTGAACTGTACCTGTGGATATATGGATAATAGACTCTAGGGCTTCTGATAATATGACACCTAATGTCTCATTTTTCTTTTCTAAGTCCACCTTAATCGGTAAGCACAATATCACTGTTGCTAATGGGTCCCAAATTCCAATTGTTGGATCCAGTAATAATTGTCTTCAAAATCCCTTCAGTTAAATAATGTTCTACATGTTCCTAACCTTTCTAATAACTTAATCTCTATCCACAAAATTACCTAAGATTTAAACTGTGTAGTCACCTTTTTCTCAACCCCCCCCCCCCACACCCACCCCAATTGTGTTTTCTAGGATCTTGCCTCACCAAGGATGATTCGAGTTGTTAAGAAACAGGACAGGTTATGTTACTTAAAGACTGCCTGGAATGAAGACAATGCGAGAAAAGTGTTCAATTCCTACTCAGAGTTAGCTAGTCCAAAATTTAGTTTCAGCAAGGGATGGAAACAGGCTAGGCTTTGCATACATAGGCCTGGTCTGTTTACTAATTTTGAAGCTTGAGCTTGACATATTACCTATCATAGGCTTTTTATTAAGCCTAACCTAACCTTTTCAAAAGCCTGATTTGGCCTATTAGCCTTGTTAACGGCCTATTTCATAACATTCAACAGGTCATTAAGCTTCCTTGTAAATAAGCTATTAAACCATATAAATAGGTATGTCTTTTTAAAAATCACAAGACATATAAAAATAAACTATTAAAAAAATGATTTAACACCTTGAATATATATAATAAAATTACATATTCCTATTTATCACTTTCAAACCACATAGACGTAATATGTAAAATTATGTTACATATTATTAATCTATTATGTAATATATTATATTATAATAATTTAATCTATTATTATATTATAATTTTTATATAAAATTATGTAATATATTATTATAAATTTTTAATAGGCCATTATAATAGGCCTAATAAACTTTTTATTAAGCTTAAACCTGACCTATTTAATTAATTAGGCTTTTTAAAAAGCCTAAATTAAGCCTATTGAGTCCATCAATATCCCTTAGACAGTGCAGAAGGCCTTAAAAGATGAAAATTGAGTTCAAGCCATGAATGAAGACATGAGAGCTCTAGAGAAAAATGCAGTGTAGGAGATTGTAGAAAGACCCATAGACAAGAAAGTTGTTGGTTGCAAGTGGATATACACTGTCAAGTATCACTCGAATGGCACCCCTGATCGGTACAAGGTGAGGCTTGCTGCAAAACAATATACTCAAACTTATGGGATTGATTATGAAGAAACTTTTGCACCGGTGGCAAAGATGAACACTGTTAGGATCATTCTATCATTAGTAGTACATCTTGGATGGAAACTAAACCAGTATGATGTTAAAAATGGTTTTTTGCATGGAGACTTGGAGAAAGAGGTGTATATGGATATCCCACCTAGGTATGGTCCGAGTGATGGTGAAAACAAGGTATAGAGATTAAAGAAGGCTCTCTATGGACATAAACAATCTTCCCATGCATGGTTTGAAAGATTCACTCAGGCTATGGTGTCCTTGGGATACACACAAAGTCAAGGGGATCATACATTTTTTTAAAAAACATTCAAAAGGTGGCAAGCTAACTCTTTTGTTTGTGTATGTGGATGACATGATCATTGCAAGTGATGATGAAGTGGAAAAACAGCAATTGAAGGAAGAACTAGCTGCTCAGTTTGAGATGAAAGACTTGGGAAAATCAAAGTACTTCCTTGGAATTGAGTTTTCCTATAAGGTATTTTCATTTCACAAAGAAAGTATGTTCTTGATCTCCTCAAGGAAATAGGGAAACTTGGTTGTAAGGCCAACGGATCACCTACAGAACAAAATCACAGAATTGGAAACAATGAGAGCCCACCTGTGGACAAAATGCAGTATCAGAGACTTGTGGGAAAGCTAATTCATCTAGCACATACTAAACTTGACATTGCTTATGTTGTTACCATGGTCAGCAAGTTTATGCATGACCATAGAGAGAGACATTCACAAGTTGTCAATATGATTCTTCAATATCTAAAAGGAAGTCCAGGAAGAGGGTTGCTATTTAAGAAAGGAAGTCTAGTCGTTGATAGAAGGTCTACCACAGGATAAAAGGGAGGGAATTTGGTGACATGGAGAAGTAAGAAACAAAATGTGGTGGCAAGATCAAGCGCTGAAGCAGAATTTAGAGCTCTAGTTAATGGAATCTGTGAATTAATATGACTGAAGACTGTCCTTAATGATCTGAGAATTAAATACAATGCTCCTATGGAGCTTTTATGTGGCAACAAATCTGCCATCAGCATATCACACAATCCAGTTCAGCATGATAGGACAAAACATAAAAATAGACATGAATTTGTTTAAAGAAAAGTTGGACAATGGGCTCATTAAGACAATATATACTCCCTCAGGATATCAACTAGCTCACATATTGACAAAATGACGGGCTACAATCTGTTTTCAAGATCTTTCAAGCATGCAGGGAAGGATGAATATCATTCATATATTTCAGCAACTGATTCTCTCATTGTGTGATATGCTTGAGGGGGAGTGTTGTAAATCTGTGTTGTAAACATATTGAAGCTGTCTATAATTCAGCAACTGATTCTCTCTCATAATTATTGGACATTTCCATAATTAGGCTAAAGAATATCTTGTAGATAATTTTGCCGATACTGTACAAATTTATTCTTTCCCAGTTATTGGTTTTAGGATTATTTTTTCCTATAAATAGGTGTACAAATTCTGTAAACGAATTATCAAGCAATAATACATTCTTTTCTCATCTGCTCTGTTCTCAACTATTATGATCAACAACCACAACTAAACAAACATGAATGTTCATATAATAAAAGTAGGAGAAGAAAACCTGTAAAGCAATTTGTAAGCAAGTATCTCGAATGGGTGGCCTAAGAAGAATCAAACTCCATACAGCACTTAGACCTTGAGTAACTCTATCCGCATTCGGGGAGTGTGACTCCTTTTCAACTTTATCCTCATTTCCAGGAGAACACATGTTTTCTAAAATTTTTAAAACGGGTTTTGGTAAATAAGGAGATTCACCAAGCAATTTACTTAATGATTTATCTGAAGGTGGAAAGGAATCTCTAAGTGCTTCTGCCTGCATTAGAAGTGAACCAAAAGCTCAACTCTTGCCGTGCAAATGGACAAATGAAACAAAATAATAATAAAAAAAAACACATACCACTGTAAGGAGAAATTTTTCATATACAGAAGCTGCAGTTGTTGAAGAAAAGAAGTCAGGCTCCTCTTCAGCCTCACCAAATAATCTGTAAAGGACACGCAATGTCAACTCATGTCCCTGAGACATTAGGTAACTGTTGTCAGCATTTATAGAACTTTAATAAATGCAGCCTTAACATAATAGCTGCCAACTTATATGATTTATCTAAGCCAAACAGCAGTGTCCATAAAATCAATAATTTATTAGATGTCCAACACACAAGACAAGTTGACTGGATTTAGTAGTTAGCACATTTCTCATACATGATTAACTCTACAAACAAGAGTGTCCATTATATTTACAGAACAATACATACCAATTCCACTACAAGAAGATGGAATCTGTTAATCCTTATATTCTCAAATTCAAGCATGGCAGACATGGCATTTTTGACAAAACCTATATGACAAAACTAACCCATCTGGATAATGAATCTCTAATGTAGTGTAAAAGGATAGCGCTACAAGTTCAGATTTGCAAAATGCTATTGAACTAAGGAAAAAACCTATGATTTCAAAGTTAGTTCTCAGTTGATTTAAAAGAAAAATACATGCTATTTATTTTTCAGAAAGAAAAACAAAATTATAGGCACTTTAGGATGGTCACTTTACTTTTACAAATTAAATTGATTAAACATGAAAAAAAAATATATGAAGAAAGAAGAAAGACACCATGCATTAATTAATCTTTCTTTCTTTCTTTTACTTATGGGGTGAGGAGCAGGAAATAGTTTCCTTCACTTTATTACTCATGTCAAAGCCAATAAGTAAATAAATTGGCACAGAAGTAACATTTGAGACAAGAGCTCACCTCATGACTTGTATAATCAATCAAAATATGCTTCTGTAATAGTTTCCATGGGTCTAATTCCAAGGGAAACTGCACGAAGAATAGAAAAGAGAGATGATATCAATTAAAAAGTAGCTGTGAGCAAACAATATATATATATATGTGTGTGTGTGTGTGTGTGTAGTCATTGTAGTGTCAGATGAATGAAGCTAGCATTGATGGAGTTTAGGATCGTAGGGATGCCTAAATTACAGTAAAGTTGAAAGCATATATGAATAGAAAGAATTAAAAGAATAATTAACTGTAAGCAATACGAAAAAAATAACAATAACTAGACATTAGACTAGTGATGAATATTTTCAACCTAATTGCTTCAAATTCAGAGCTACAAACCCAGTAATAAGAAAACATTTAACATTCATATGAATGCATCATGATAGATTATAACAGTAACAGTTTGAGGGAATCATAAATAATGAGTAATTCTATAAGAAAAGGGTATGTGTTAGGAAAAAAAAATTAAATAGTTGTGTTTGATAAAAATGTAAAGTACGACAGGTTAGTAAAATTTCTGAAACTAAAAAGGCAGGTCAATGTCATATTATAAAGCCTCCATGAGATCAATTTAGTTCCCTCTAAATATATCCACAACCGAGAGAGCTTCAGACATTAAAGTAAGTGGAAATTTTATAAAAGGGAAAGACAGTTAAAGAATACATACAATAAATTGAGTTGGATCCTCCATGCTTCTAAGGACAGAAAAAAAAGGCTTAAAACATACCAGTTCTTGTAAAGAGCATGATACACTTTATAATACAACTGAAATATAAAACCTGAAAATTTTGAGCACGAATATTCACCTCAACTCCTAAATAAGCAAGTATTGAAAATCGGACTTTGGAACCACCAGCTACAGCTATTTGCTTATATGCATCAATTATATGCATAAAACATGACTTTTGCAAATGATCTTTTTGTTCATCTGCAAGGTCAACAACAGGAGCAATCATCTTTGGCAAGATTAAACGGGGAGGCAACACAACAGAAGTAGCTGTTGAGGACACCAGGCTATTGACATCTGTAACACCCGCTTTTGGGCTCAGCTCCTCAGATCTATCTGTTGATATTGACGGAACTAAGTTCAGAGGTGACCTCTGATCCAAACTCATAACTTGCTCTTGACTGCCATCTTCTAGATGTATATCAGTGGAAGCCAATGAGGAGGGAGCCAAAGTTTCTGACAAGGCATCACTACGACCAAAGGAATCCAGGCCAGGGATGCCGCTCTCTAAGTTTCCAACATCATGGATGTCAGAAGGTATAGTTGTGCAGCCATTCTCCACTCCAGGTATACTGGCATCAGAAGATGGAAAATCAGTAGGCGATGGTACATTTTCAGATGAAAGATTCATGCCAGAATGCTCAACAGCACTATCTTCAGCAATTGCAGAAATTTCTTCCTCCCCTTGAGGCTTCTGCAATATTTGTGTACATCAAAGCTCTAGTCAAAAGATTATTCTCAGAAAATATGATATAAAATAAATACAGGTTTAATCAATTCAAATGAAAGGGACTGGAAGTAAATTGAAATATTAAAAAGAAAGGCCTAAAAACCAAAAATACCAGAAAAATACACCACTACCTCGTTGGACACTGGTTGATGGGCGTCAAGAAGGGACGCTATTGGCGGAAAAGTACTACAAAGCGACATAACACCAGCTACAAATGATGGTGGATATTTAGCCTTGTCATCAGAACCAATCATACTAATGTCATGCAGCTGTTCATCATTTCCTTCAGCATTAGGGTAATTTGGAGGTAGGTTTCGCATATTTGCCATCACCACCTCAGCTAGCAAGTCAGCAGAAATACTTGAGATAAGAATTTCCAAAGATGCAACAGCTTTTTCACCTTGAGCAACCAAAGCACCAAACATGGCAACAAGTTGCTGTACAGGCCCATTCTCCACATCTCCTTTTGATTGTATTGGTACAGTTGACTGTGTGTCATCCTGAGAGTCCGCACTGGTACCTTCATCTAACTCTTTCTTAGGTTCTTTCACAATGAATGATGTCTTTACACGTTTTCCAGGCACATCATCTTCAGCTAAATCACCTCCATTTTGTGATCCAGATCGCTTTCTTCCCAAATTACTGGGCATTGAATCACAAGAATTTACTGCACGTTCCTCTTCCTGTAAAATAAAATAAAATTATATGTATGGGTGTGGCTGTGGCTGCGGGTGGGTGTCTGTGTACATATGTGGCAATCAAGAATTCGGAATGACTGATATTTTAGCGTCTAATTGTATATCTATCCCAATGTCCTACCATTATTAAATGCTATTAAAAAGTCTCTTTTGATTCACAATGTTTCATGCAATCTCCGCTCCAAAAGCAAGCTCAATGGGGAAAATTGCCCAAGTCATTTAAAAAGTACTTTGGCCATATGCCCAGCCAACATGGAATCTTAACCATAGTTATCAATCTCAGATAGCAGTGCTAGAGCGTAACAGCCAATGCCAAAAATGCTATAGTGGGGTAATGCATAGAGAGATGAGTCATGACTGCTATTTAGAAATGTCATATATAAATTAAATCATTTATACTATATACATGAACGCCAAAAGATAAAAAAAACTCAAAATCCATGACATATTCGTTATTAAAAATAAAAGTTAGTTCTTAGGCTCAACATACAAATATACAACAGTAAAAGTAAAAAAATCCCCCAAAGCAATGCTTTTTTTGGTTAAAAATGTTTTTTTTTAATTGTTATTTTCACTCTAGCGCTGCTATAGCAGCAGTGCCACGGCCACTATTTTGGCCCCTATTCAAATTTTATAGCAGCCTATGGCAATTCCACTCCACTATTCCACTATAGCCTGTAATTAATAACTATGATCTTAAAACACTTCCCTTATGCTTAGAACTGGACATTTAGAGTAGGAAATATGCAGGACTAGGCATTTGCAAATAGACCAACTTCAAGATGAGATTGGGTCTTGTTGAGAATATTTGTGTTTCCATTATTAATATGGTTACCTTCTTTCCTTTTATATAAAAATCTGATTGATTATGTAAATAATGTAATTAGGGTTCAGCTGTAATTACTTAGTCAATCCCTATAATCAAGGGATTTAGTTTGTACAAATTTATAATTATAAGAAACGGTGAATGACAATGAGGAAACTAAGTTTATACCCTAATTATTTTTCTGTCTCAAGTTGGTATCAAAGCTCACATTCTGTAGGCCTAATAAAACACAACACAATACCGCCAACCCTAGTTGTCCCGACATCCGGCAACCATTTGGCCTGTGACTTCGGCACTAACCCCAGAAGTCTCTGATTGGCTGTCCCACCGATCGTCGTCGTCTCCTGGCATCCCACGCGCTGCCACACGCACTTACCATAGAACCAGGTCATCAGCGCGTGAAAGCCAAGTGCCGCCCTATGCGACTCTGTTTGTCTCGCCGCTGGTACGGTTCACCTCGTTGGCACACCATCTGTCTCTTCTGGGTGTCCTTTTCCAGCTAGGTGACCTTTATTTAGTCTCTTCCATCTCTCACCTAGTTCAATCATGGATTCAGACCCAACAGAGTCAACTCCTAAGTCAACCGCTACCCCTGACAGTACTAGACCCTTAAACAAAAACCCTGTATCCTTTGTCTTCTCTGGAAATCCATCAATAGCTTCAGAGAAACTTAATAGGAAAAATTATATGGATTGGCAAGCTACGATGAAAATATGGTTTTTGGGTCAAGGTCTCTTTGACCATTTGAGTAAGACAGCAAATGACATTAGTCCCACTGAACGCGATCAATGGAAGAAGGCTAATTATCAGTTAGTTTCACTTCTATGGCAGTCCATTGATCAGAAGTTGTTAGTCCATTTTCATACGTATAAGACATTGTAGTGTCTATTAAAATGATGTTCAGCATCTCTACGATGTTGTATATAATTTAGCTGCACTTAAAATGATAGATCACAATCTTCCATCATATTTGAATAGAGCACAGTCCACCATTGATGAAATTAAATTGGTCTTGGCAGGTGATGACCTTCAAAATACAAGATCGATAACATGTGCATGGTTTTAATCCTTCATGGCCTTCACAAAGATTTTGAATCTGTTCAGAACCAAATTTTGACAAATTCCAATGTAACCTACAGCAGAGAATCTCATTAATTGTCTACTGCGTGTTCCCTCTCCATAAACTATGACAGGAAATGGTTCCCAACCAGGTTTGGAGTCTTCTACATTCCTATCTAATGTGATCAGCCATGGAGGTCAAAGTCATGGTGGAAGAGGAGGTCGTAGTTTTGGAAATCGTCCACAATGCTCTTATTGTAAACATATGGGCCACACCAAAGATAAGTGTTATTCCTTGATTAGGTTTCCCGAGAAATCAGCCACTGTGACGTATTCTCAGTCTTCCGCTGTGGAAAAGCAAACTAACATTGGTGGAGACAACCAGAATATTCTTTCAGATATGGAGTATAAGGCAGCTGAAGATAGCACCGCAACAATCTTCCTCTGCCACTGCTCAATCTGGTAACTCTACAATTTGCCTCTGATTCATCGTCTGTTGGACCCTAGATATTAGATTCTGGTGCTTCTGACCACATAGCTGGTACTCCTTCTCTTTTCTCAAAACTGTCACAACCTAAAACAGCACACTACATCAACCTTGTTAACAGCTCAAAAGCTAATGCTATTGGCATGGACAAACTACCCCTCTTCCTGATTTATCCCTAAATTCTGTTCTTGTACGTGGTTGCCCCTTTAATTTAGTCTCAATCAGTCAACTTATTCGCACTCATAACGGTTCCATAACATTTACTGCTGAATCTTTCTCTATACAGGACCAGAGTACGGGACAGACGATTGAAGTAGGATCTGAATCGTGTGGTCTTTATTATTTCCAACCCCCTTCCTCAGTTGTCTGCACTGTTACAAATTCTCCTCTTCTCTTGCATCGTCGCCTAGGTCATCCAGGTCCAAATAAATTGAAGCACATGGTTCCTTACCTCTCTCATTTCCAGTCTTTGGAGTGAGTCATGTCAATTAGGTAAACACATTCGAGCCTCCTTTCCAAGCGCTGTCCATGGTCAAGCAAAATCTCCATTTGATCTTGTTCATTCAAATGTGTGGGGTCCGAGTCTTGTTAATTCTATCTTAGGACATAGGTACTTTGTTATTTTTATTGATGACTAGTCAAGATGTACTTGAATTTTCTTAATAAAAGAGCATTAAGAATTATTTACAATTTTTCAGAATTTTTGCAATGAAATTCAAACACAATTTGGTCGCTTTATTTGTGTCTTGCGTAGTGATAATGCCAAAGAATATTTTTCTGCATCTTTTAATCATTTTATGACTTCTCATGGCATGTTGCATCAATCCACTTGTCCACACACCTCAACAAAATAGCATTGCAGAAAGAAAACATCATCATATTATTGAAACTGCTCGAATTCTTTTGTTACATGCTAATGTACCTTTAAAATTTTGGGGTAATGCTGTCCTTATAGCAACTTTTTTAATAAATAGGATGGGGAAAGTCTGTCTATTTTTACATCTAGGATTTACATATTACAACATATATCACTGTCAAGGTCAAGAGTGAATTTTATATTATTCAAATTTCGAATCTCTTATCCCTTTTTTTATTATTTGTTTTTATTTTTGAATCGATGACAGATCCATTTTTTTATGTTCTGTACTATCAATAAGATCCATTATAACAAGTCACACACTCATTCCGGAAATACAAAAACAAAGAAGTTTCACGATCAAACTAATTCTTTGACTAGAGGTTACCGAAAAGAAAAATTTTCTATTTGATTCTATTTCCATTCGAATCAATGTACCTTTAAAATTTTGGGGTGATGCTGTCCTTATAGCAACTTTTTTAATAAATAGGATATCATCCTCTGCTTTAAATAACAAAGTACCTCATTCACTTTTATTCCCTAATGACTCTCTGTTTAAAATCCCCCCACGTGATTTTGGTTCCACTTGTTTTGTCCATGATCTCACTCCAGGGCTTGACAATTATCTGCTCGTGCTGTTAAGTGTCTCTTTCTGGGTTACGCTCGGGTGCAGAAAGGATACAGGTATTATTCTCCATCCACTCATCGCTTCTATACGTCAGTTGATGTCACCGTTTTTGAAGATACACTGTATTTCACCACATCAATCTCTCCAAACTCAGTTTCCCAGGTTCTTCCCGTTCCTTACTATATTCCCCTTGTCACTAATCCTTCCATCTTTGATGTGCCAAAGCCTCCTAATCACTCTTCACCTGCTATTCCTTGTCCCTTGGCTACGTACCAGCGTAGACCTTGTATTGTTCTGCTAGAGGAAATAGTTTCTGAAGATTCAGGCCACTCATCTCCTATGCTAATTGCTCTACCTACTCCGAATCCATCTAAGACACCTGCTGATTTGCCAATAGCCCTTCAAAAAGGTACACGTTCAACTTGAAATCCTCATCCGATTTATAATTTCTTGAGTTATCATTGTTTATCCTCTTCACATTTTGCCTTCATGTCTACTATTTCCTCTGTTACTATTCCTAAAACAGCCCAAGAAGCACTTTCTCATCTAGGGTGGCGACAAGCTATGATTGACAAGATATAGGCTTTAGAATCCAACCAGACTTGAACACTTGTTCCCTCTCTTCCTGGGGAAATCTACAATTGGCTGTTGTTAGGTGTTTGCTATTAAGGTGGGTTCAGATATGGACAAATTGATTGGCTAAAAGCTTGATTAGTCACTAAAGACACGCAAACTTTCGAGCTTGATTATGGCGATACTTTCTCACTTGTTGCAAAAATGACTTCAATTTGCCTCTTCTTATCTATGGATGCCACACATTGCTGGCCCCTCTATCAACTAGATATCAAAAATACATTTCTCCATGGTGATCTAGAGGAAAAGATTTATATAGAACAACCTCTCGGTTTTGTTGCTCAGGAGAGTCACAAGGATTTGTTTGCAAGTTACGTAAGGCTTTATATGGCCTTAAACAAAGTCCTCAAGCATATTAAACAAAGTCCTCAAGCATGATTTGGTAGATTTAGTACAGTTCTCTAATATTTTGGGATGACTCGCAGTGAAGCAAACCATTTGTGTTTTATAAACATTCCTCTACTAACCAGTGCATTTATCTTGTTGTCTATGTAGATGACATTGTTATCATAGACAATGATCATGATGGTATCACCAGACTCAAGCAGCATTTGTTTCAACATTTTCAAACTAAGGACTTGGGTCAATTGCGATATTTTCTTGGGATTGAAGTAGCTCAATCAAAAACTGGTGTCGCCATATCTCAAAGAAAATATGCTCATGATATTTTGAAGGAAACAGGAATGTTGAATTGTAAGCCAGTTGATACTCCTACGGATCCAAATGTCAAACTTATGCCAGATCAGGGGGAGTTGTATTCAGATACAAATCGATACCAAAGATTAGTCGGAAAGCTGAATTAACTTACTATGACTAGGCCAAACACATCCTTTCTAGTCAACATTGTGAGCCAATTTCTTAACTTCCCTCGTGATAGTCATTGGGATGTTGTGATTAGAATCTTCAGATACATCAAAGGTTCCCCTAGAAAAGGATTAGTCTATGAAAACAGAGGCCATACTGATATTGTTGCATACACAGATGTGGATGGGGTTGGTTGCCCAAGTGATAGACAATCAACTTCAGGATATTGTGTATTGATTAGAGGTAACCTTATTGCTTGGAAGAGTAAAAAGCAGAATGTTGTTAATAGATCAAGTGCTGAAGCTGAATATCGAGCAATGGCCAATACCTCGTGAACTTGTATGGCTAAAACAGCTTATTGCTGAGTTAAAGTTTTGTGAGGTAGGACCTATGAGACTTATTTGTGATAACCAGGCAACCTTACACATTGCCGCTAACCCTGTTTTTCATGAACGGACCAAGCATATAGAGATTGACTAACATTTCATTCGTCATGAGATTGATACATCATTTGTGAATTCTAATAACCAATTGCTGACATGCTTACCAAGGCACTTTGAGGTCCAAGCATAACATCATTTGTAACAAGCTTGATGCATATGATATATATGCACCAGCTTGAGGGAGAATGTTGAAAATATTTGTATTTACATTATTAATATAGTTACCTTCTTTCTTTTTATATAGAAATCTGATTGATTATGTAAATAATGTAATTAGGATTCAGCTGTAATTACTAGGTCAATCCCTGTAATCAAGGAATTTAGTTTGTACAGATTTATAATTATAAGAACCGCTGAATGACAATGAGGAGACTAAATTTTTACACTAATTATTTTTCTGTCTCAAGTGGTCTAATACCATACTAGAATTGAAAATGGACTATGTCTAGCTCAATCCTAAAAGCTAGCTTAAGGGAGAACGATTGTTCCAGCCATTATAAGTACAGTGGCCATATGCCTTGCTAATGTGGGATCTTGATGATAATAAAATAAATTAAATAATTAATATCCTCAATTATGAGTAAATACTAGACACAGTAAAATGTGCCAAAGAACGGCAAAAAAGGAAAATACTCTCCATTTCCAAATGACTGGGTTTCACAAGAAATTTACAGTAGGGCAATTTGGCAGGAAACAACAGATCCCGTGTAGCTGGACAGTTTTGTTACATATGTAGACAGTAAGTTACCAACTAATGCTCTATTTCATTCAATTTATTGGAGACACCGAAAGACAAAATAATGTTGAAAATAATTAATTAATGTCATCTTAAGTTTCTAAAGCAACAAAAACAATGGAACAAAACCCATTCTCTAAAACTACAACAATTTTGAAATTGAGAGTACCATCTATCTCTTCTGATAATGAAAACATGACAATTTGGATATACCAATTCAATTGTCTACAGCTACATCAAGCTCATACACAGATTCCATATTTACATGTTCAAAGCTCAAATCAGTATATAAGAAACAGAACACTTAAAAATAATCAAATAAACATCCTAGGAAAAGAAGGTGGTTACCTTGATAACAGATTGATCATCCTTCTCTCTCTTTATACTTCCATTACTTGCAGGGATTAAGTGGAACACCTGATCTGCCTTTCCTTCAGACTGCATTTCCTTCAAGGCACCTGCCAAACGATCTCTCCACTACCCAAATAAAAAATAATCAATTTTTCCATAATACCATATTGGACCAAACCTCTTGAATATGAAGTACGCACTTGATTACTAGTTAGTTTAACGAAAATGTCATAATATTCAATTTCAAAGAAACAATATTGATATTTTCAGCTCCCCCTCTTACAGACAATCAACCTTAAAGTTTAAACAAGAAAAGGGGCATACACAATCTGACTTTTACCCAGGCATAATATATAATGTTATACGGTTTCAGTTTACTACAACTCAATATTTAATTTCAATTACAATTAATGACCATTACACACAAAAATTACAAATAGGATAATTGGCTGTCGAACTGCCAAGTACCAATGGCAACTTGGCAAGTATTAAGAAATCACCATCTTAATGAAGTAACACTTTTTAAAGAAAAACTGACTTTACACTTCTGCTTTCCTAGCCTCATCCAAACCCTCCCAGATGACCCCCTCCCCTCACTCCCCTCTCCCCCTCCCTCTTCCTAGCCTCATCCAAACCCAAAACCTTTTCCCACTTCTCCTTTCCTTCCCTCCCCTCATTCCTCCCTCCCATCCAAATGTACCGTAAGGGAATCTTCCTAGGGGGTATACAGAGAAATTGCAGACTTTTGGTAGACTGATATGCAACTTAGTTTTTAAAGCTATTTTTTATATGGGTCGTGTTTTTAGTTGAACCTTGTCTCTATTCTTTTCAGTATATCTCTCAGTTGATCAAACAAAACATCAATACACTAAAACTACCAATTCAACAATCATTTTTATTTGGGCCACCTACAAAACTTCATCCACATAAGCTTGTGTTTATAAAGTGACTTGTACTTAATTAAGCAATTGCCCCAACCTGTGAGACAACCTGAAGCCAATGGTGCAACTGCAACTTGAGTTACTTGACAATGATTTTTCAATGAAAGAGGGAACTAGACAATTAGCAGCCTACCTCAGTAAGGGACACACACAACACATACATAAATACATAATCAAGTTATGTAAGTGAGAACCCCACCCATGATTTGGTTAAACATTCTCTCTCTCTCCACAATTGCAACAGCAACACACAGAGAGTCATATGCTCAGCAGATATAGGTATTCAGAGTTTTCAGATAACTTTGATTTTGGGCTGTAGATTTGATAGCAAATGGATCAATTCATATTTATCCAGCAGATCAAGAGATATATTCGTTAGCCTATTAACCATGAACTGACCTGTTACCCTTTTAATTGGATGTATTGGATTTAAATAAGGACATGGATACAGATGGGTTGGATTGATATATGGTGGATCAATGGACATTTATGCCACCCCAAGTTTCAATCACGAATGTGATGTAAGCCTATAGCATGTAGTAAGTCAGATCACACAAAACTCCATGTCTATTTCTCTGTTCCCCACTTTCTGTTTGTGCACCTGGTTCCAACAGTGTGCAAGGAGCCTATACCCTCCTTGAATCTCCAAGTTTTGTAGTACATTTTCAGTACTCTTGTAGAATATACTCTTTTGCAATTGCTTTTCTTTATTTGGTAACTTCCTCTTTGTTTTTAATTTTAAGAAATTTAAATCAGGAAAAAAAATAGCCAAACAGTGGCTCGTATTGCTATTTTAAGAAAAGGAGTATATACTCCAGGAGCACTGAAAATTTTTCCCAAGTTCTGATTCCTCACCATAGAAAATTTCTCATAATCCTCCAATCTTTAAGGGGAATCTCCACGAGAATGATGAAGACTATATATATATCAGGAACAGACTAAACAAGCCTTGTGTAAGGTGATCTACATTCCAGACTGCAGAGAAAAGAAAGCTCCCTTCCAATCATGTAGTCATCTAGAAAAATGATGTTCTGTTCCTGAAAATCCCCCTTACCCCTATTGTACTCCCAATGAACCTTCAATCAGCCTATTTTCTACAACTGATCCACCCTAGAATAACCAAAGCCTACTCTGTTGATTCCAAATCCTAAATCTTATGCTTTTATTTGTCAAAGAATTTAGATGACATGGAAAACATGAAATGGAAATAATATGATGCTGCAAGTCATCAAATGATTAGATAACATGGGAAACATAATATGCAAATTATATGAAACTGTTCTTAGTATAAAAATATACAGCTGCTTGTTTCAAGGTTTATAAATTTATTCCTCGGAAAATGAATGTTGGATTGTGATATTCCCATGTTTGGTACAAACTTTAAAAATATTATGAGTATTGTTGATTTCCAAGAAAGTGGCATTCTCATGCTTTACTTATTTGTTTTCCCATGGAAAGGATGTGTATGTTGCTTTCCCATGGAAATATGGGAAGTTATTTACTAACCCAGCTACTAATTTCCATTCCCAATTCCTTCTCTTATCATTTGATTCATGAAAAACATCCCCAGAAATATTAAATTCTAAAAAAATATTTTTTGAATTCATCCAAGAATAATAGCATGCTTGGTAATGTTTTTTAGAAGCACGTGACTTGCTTTTTTCAAAAGTTCTCTTATGAAGCTAGCAAAAATCAGCAATTAGTTTTCTAAAATAAGGTGAATCAAACACAATGACATTCTTGATCATAGTAGTACTCTTAGGAATGGCACCCCTAGAAATATAAAAATATACCTTGAAACAAATGTCACAGAATTTTGTAAACATTGACAGAGACTATAAAATCAATATATATATATATATATATATATATATAAAGAAGTAAAACTACATATCAAGAGTAAACAGTTGAGATGTCAAGTACATCTTAGACTAAAAGAATTACCGGAGCAGCACTTGGATGTGTACATTTTGAGCAAGTAAGAAAGGCATTCTTCAAAGCAAGATGTGCAGCAGTTACACAGATCCCACTCACAACAGAGCTCGAGGGTTCCAAGCTGAGCAAAACTGGCAAGATGCGGCCATAGAATGCAGGCCTGTCTGTTGCAATGGCTGAAAGGCTGGGAATTATCCAATAACAAAGTCAACAGTAAGAAAGTATCATTCAAATCAATGGATTTTTACACACAGCATTAATAGTTATCAACCAGTAATTGCATGTAATTTGTAATAATTGATTTACAGCCAGAACAATCCTCAAGTTTTCAAAATGAATGTAAGTTTCCTACCAAACTGTTAGCAATGAGCCCATGATGAAAAGGGTATATTATAGGAAAAGGAAGAGTGGGCCAGTTAATGTTAAGGCCCAACCCAACCTAGAAAAACAATCAGTTAGCTCATAATTAGGGAGCAGTTAGAAGGCAGTTACAAGGAATGGTTGTTATAAAGGTCAAAATTACAATAATTGAGGTGTCTTTTTTGTAAGTGAATAAGTCAATGTAGGAGAGTTGCCAGGATCTCTCGAATATTTTTAGCAATATATGATAACAGTCTGCATTTACATTAGGTACCTAACTGTGTTCATTCTTAGTAATACAATTCAATCTTTCTTTCTTTTTCCTTGCTTTACCTGTTTTAACACAAAACCTAGTCAAATAAGATTATATTGGACTAACAACAATGTTGATATGTTAATATAGTAATTAGATTTGTTCATATGTAAATACAGTAATTAGGAACGTAATATCAGGATTACCTTAATTAGGTAATTAATATAGATTCATGGGTACTTGTATAAATTCAGACCTTCAGGTCAAATGCAATACATACAGTAAAGTTTCAAATACTACATTTCAATAAATAAAATTCCCCTCTCTTTCTCTAGACGTGTGAACAAGTGAAGCAAGCAAATATTGATCATGTGATCATCATGAATGTGTCATTGGTAAGTTTTAACAAAAAAAATTCATGTGCATGTGTGTGAGAGACAGAGAAAGTAAGCAAGCAAATTTTTGCCTTTTTGAGCACCATCATGCATCATGAAATTCATGCATGTGTTGTCAACATCGTGTAATATTTTCAGTTGTCACATCATGCAGCAAATCAAAAGGGCATAAAAGAAAAGATCAAAGACCTTTTAATTAGCACAATGATCACTGAGTGACTAAGAGACTTCACACTTGGAAACCTGAGTTGATCAAGCAAGAGACCCAAACTATGGCTGGCTTCAATTGACAAATCTCCAACATTAAGTACTGGATGACCCCGCCTCAGCCATGATATATTAAATTCAGCAGGCCTTCCTATAAAAAAGTGAACAGCTGTATAAGCAAATAATTTGAGAATTATGATAACAACAGATAGTACAAACATCTTTTAAAAGCCTGATGATACTGCCCAACCAATTTCAGAATGTAATACCTTGATGAGAAGTGGGCTCTGAGGAACCATTGGGATCAGGTGTGTAAAGATGAATAACTGCTTCAACAAACTTCAATGCCAGCAGCTTTGCTCCACCACCTCCATGCTTCCAATCATGTTAGAAAGTACAACCATCGGTCAATAAACCCAAACAAGTAACTCTGCATTTTTAAAAAGAAAAACTACTTACTTGAAAAGCTATTGAGTATACTTTGTCTTTGAATTTAATCATCCATGCCCATGCAGATTCAAGTGCACTGTCTAAATCACTAGAATATAGACCCTAAAACAAAATTAAACCAGAATGGGATGTTCATATCTTAAAATTAATACGCATAATACATAAAAGAATGAGACATGAGGTAAGATGAGAGATAACTCCTGTAAGATATCCAAAACGTTCAAAAGTTAGCACAAGTAACTATTAATACTTGCCACCATTATTCATTTCCTGATATTTTTTCTTGGTGGGGATATGAATGCATACTTGCTTTATCAATTTATATAAGATCTTCTAGTTTTAATTTTGTACCAAGAGGGGCTAAGATAAAAGGTGAATAGGAGTCAATGGCTTTCCAAAAATTTGAAGATTAGAACCAGATTTGGATGGTTGGCCGTTCCTGTGGACATACCATGAACCCAAGATAAAATTATGTTGGTATAAATGCCACTTTCCATCACTTTTTCTTTTTCTTGATTCATATATAAAAGCCAATCAGTAATCAATGTTTCATTCACCTTAGAACATTAGCTGTTGATGAAATCAAATAACATATACCCCAGTGCAAGGATTAAAAGAAAGCAAAAAGCTGGTTAACGTACAAGACACAAGCACAATTACATACATGGCATTATATTGAGAACCTTCAATAATTTTAAACAGACAGCGTATGGTTACGCGTGGGTGTGAATGATCCTTTAACTCCCTACATCACTCTTTGTGCAGATTGACATTGTTCCAACTTCCAAGAACCCAGTACCATAAAATATAATAAAACTAAATTCCTGAATTATCTTTCAATTGTATGAATTTCATAACAAAATAACATAACACGCAATGCCATTACACTGACAGAACAAAATCTTAAAAAAGAAGCAATCACACCCAGATACAGCCGAACACAAGAACAACTCATGCCACAACATTCACAACATTGTTTTCATTACAAAAGCAACTCATCGAACAACATATTCATTCACCGTTGAAAAACAAAACACATACCTGAATCGCAATTTTCTCAAGCGTGGAGCGAAACAAATCGGTTCCACACAGTATAGCTTGTCGAACAACCGCCGGCGTGTCATCATCCAAGATATTGATAAGCACAGGCACAATGTCAGGCAAAAACTCCGTGTTCTTCAATCCAATCTCACCAAGCATCCTACGTCCACAACAAAAAATAACTAAAACTAATAAAAAAGAGGTTCATCTCAAATTCCAATTCAACGCGCCAATGCGATTGAAATTCGAAAATGGTGAAGAGAGAAGCGTACTCGGTGATGAATTTGCGAACGGGACCGAAGCGATCGGAGTGGAAGTCAAACAGTGAAGGGAGGAACTCGGTGAGAAGAACGGGGTCTTCTTGGGGAAGTTCGTGCCTCAGTTGGCGCAACGACTCGAGTTTGGAGGGGATGTCGATGGCCAACTTGGCAGAGTTCACAAGACTCGCTAACTTTTCACGCGAAGTCGCCGCCATGGACATGGTTTTTCCGACCATGGTTGCAGAGAGAAGCAGCAGAAAGCCTAATTTGAGAGAATTTGCATGGGAATCGATAGCGCGAGAGGATCAGTGTCTCTTTTTCTAGGGTTTGGTTGGAAGGAGAGGGAGAATGAGGTCCGTTTGAAATTGCTGTTCGAACAAAAATGGTGTAGTTCTCTCGCTATTTTATAGGTTATCTTAAAATTACAGATATAAATATTTTTATTAAGAATAAATAAATAAATAAAAGAAATTTTTATTCATGGTATAATAAATATTTCTTAAAGATATTTTTTTCTCTTATTCTTATTATTATTATTATTGACAAGCTCATAAGTTGAGTCAAAAACTCATTAATTTTTTCCAAAATTAATTAAATCACAAAACTTAATATCAATTCAAATTGATTTTACATAATTTAAGATATTGTCATACTATACTAATTTGTACACAAAATCAATCTAATAAATTACTCAAACAAGTTTTTAAAGGATGAAATCAAATTAGATTCTTATAACACTTAACTTTATATTAGTCTTTTTATTTTAAAAAAAAAGTTCATTTGGTTAGTTTTTCAACTAGAGAAGACAAATTTGATCCATAATTTTTGTAATATAATAATTGACTTGATTACAAAGATTATCTTTCACCCAAAAAAAACTCATTAACAACTAGCTAAGAAGATGATTTGCATCAATTACCATAAGAAAATAATATGAGATAAAGCTCTTCACAATTAAATTTAAATTATTACTTGTAAAAGAAGAAACTAAATAATTTTATAAATCTAATTAAACAAAACAAATACTCCTTAAAATGCACAAATGTTTGTATAATTTTTTACATTGTCTCTAAAAGAAAACCTATTCTCCAATAAAATTTTTCTATTATATAATTTTATTAGCAAGTTTAAAATATGAAACCAAATAATAATCTTTTTAATATTATCATTCATAAGTTTGAACAATGACCTCCATAAAAGATAGTCAAATAATGCATATTTATAATGACTTTTATTAAAAAACATGCCATGAAATTTTTTTTATTAATATAGTATTTATAGAATTATTTTTTATTTTGTTATAATTTAATTATTAGGATAGATTTTCACAGTTGACACCATAATTTATACTCTTCTAGTGTTATAATTACATTAGGTTTCAAATTAAAGGAATGTAAAACTATTCTTTTTAATGTTAAGCTCTTTTTATAATATCATAACCAATATTTTATGATATGCACTATATATGTTATAGGTTTTATTAGTCACAATTAATCATATCCATGTATGACAAATTCTTCACCTCTATTGAACTGGGCATTATTATTAGACTCAAATTTTTTTTTACATAAAATTATCTCTTTCATCCTTTTTATATCTTTTATTTTATAAAATTTTTATTTTAACTTTTACCTATTGATTATTCTCTTTTTTGGAAAGTGCACATAACTTACTTTCTTCGTTATAATTAATATTTTGTTATGATCTTATCATTTCAATTCATTTATTTATGTGTCTATTAATATAATTTAATTATATTTAAAATAATAATATAATATAATCAATAAATAATATTGAAACTAATAATAGAATATTAACATTATACAACTAAAACATAAACTAATTTTTTTGTTTTTTATCCAATTTAATTCAGATTCAACTTGAGTCGCCTACCTAGATGTGATGGATAAGTCTATCACTAAAATTTTTTTATAGACACAAAGATCAAACTCGAGACTGAATTACTTACCACTCGAACCAATTTTTGTTAACAATTTTTTCTTATTTTATCAAAATGTTATGAGATTCATTTTATGAAATAGTGTAGAGTACTAATACTAGACTTGTGCTGATTTTTAAAAAGATAATAAAGCAACATAAAATTTTGAAGTTATTTATTTTTAAAATTTATTTCCTTTTATTCTGATGTCTTTAAAATTATAGTAGTTTTGAAAGAGTTTAATAATTCTTTAAAGTGATTTTATTAAGAAAAAAATTATACAAATAAGTTTGTAATTTCCATAAATTCTTCATTGTTATTTTAACATTGTTCACATATTTTTAATCTTCATTTATCTTGATAATTTATATCTTTTATTTAATTATTTTAAATTTTTATAAAATTGAGTAATACAGAAAATATTTTAAAAGTTTAATTTTTATGAAATTTTTATCTAATTACTCTAAATTCCCCTGAAAACATACTCTTTGAATTTTAAAATTTGATTGTGGTGTTAATATCTAAAATTTTGTGTGTCATTGACATTCTCACCCTTCAATACAGATCCAGAAAAATTATATAAAAAGGATTTTATTTCATTTTTATAAAATATCACTTTATTTTAAAATTTTAGCAAAATAATCATGCTCTAAGTCATTCATCACATGAATCAATCCTATTTATAATTTTACTTTCTCTTGTTGTAAAACAATTTTAGTCTATTAGTATGACTGGATTCAATTTATGCGTAACCAATTTCAAATATTTTGTATTTTAATATATTTACAGAATTTCTGATAAAACATAATGCTAAGCTTAAATCCATTGAGATATGTTTTTTCCTTTCCAAAACTTTGAAGTTTCCTACCATAGAAATTTAAAAGAAGTGAAATAAAACGTTTAATAAATCATTTCTAGAGTAGAAAATAAAATACCTTCTCATATCTATTGAGAAAATAAAGCAAGTAGCAAAAAGACAAAAAAGAATGCTCAGAAAGCCAATTGCCATTGGTCATTAATACTTTTTATCATCCAAAACAAATCACATCAAATCCTTCGCAACAACACATTCATACGACAATGGCAACCCAAATGAACCAATTGTTCAGAACTTCCATTTTGAAGAACAAGACACAATCAGAGACCCCTTTGAAAACCCCAAAAAGAACCTCGAGATTTCAAGTCATTAGTGCAACATCCTCCACTATCAGTGCAAGACAGCTCATAGAATCTGGTACAGTTAAGTCTATATTGCCGAAAGATGCATCCACAGCAATGAACTCAGAGGGCTTTGTTCTACTTGATGTTAGGCCAACGTGGGAGAGAGAGAAGGCACGTGTGACGGGGTCTCTGCACGTGCCAATCTTTGTGGAAGACAAGGATAACGGTCCTATAACTCTGCTTAAGAAGTGGGTTCATTTTGGTTACATTGGTTTGTGGACTGGCCAATACCTCACCACTGTGAATTCTGAGTTCCTTGGTCAAGTGGAAAATGCTATTCCTAGTAAGGACACCAAGCTTCTTGTGGCATGTGGAGAAGGATTAAGGTGAGCAAATGGAAAGAAAAAAAAATGTTTCTAAACTATGGTTATTTAGCTATATCAAATTATGATTATTTATTTAGCTTACAGTTTTGAATGGAAATAAAAATTTTGGCTCCTTTCTTGCGCTTAATTGAAATAATTGAATAGGATTAATGCTGTTTATCTATTTGATATTTTTAGATTAACCATCCTAGTAACTTGAATGTGGATCCAATTTACAAGCTTCTGAAAATGTACACACCTAATATAGTTAAATTACTTTTAGCATTCTTTTTTATTTTTATCAATAAAGTAATCAATTAGTTTTGATCTGAAGCTTTATTAGTTTGTATTGTATATGTTACTTTTTCCAGTTTACAAAATCAAAACATAAAATCATCTCAGCAAGCAGAGAATAAATTAAAGTAATGGAAAAATATTAATCTCAACCCTTAAAACTTAATTTTAAACAATAAAAGTTGACAATCTTTTATTAGAAAAAAAAATACATCAATAATATAAAAATATATTTAATATAAAAGTTATTAGTCATAAAGACTTAAAATTAGACCTAAGGACTAAAATGAACACAACCGAAGACAATAGAGCAAAATAATTTGTTGGTTTTGGTGGGTGACTCAGGTCAATGACAGCAGCTTCAAAACTGTATAATGGAGGTTTCAAAAATCTGGGATGGTTGGCTGGAGGCTTTAATCGTTCAAAGGACAATGACTTCCAAGCAGTAGAAGGAAAAGAGAAGTTGCAGTATGCTACAGTTGGGGGAGTCTCTTACTACTTCCTTCAGTTGCTCATACTTCTACAAGCTGTAGGTAAAGGATAACTGTATAAACTGTTATCAGTTACTTTTATAATACATTAATATGTTCATGTTGTGCATCTTTTGACTTTGTAAGCCTCTTTTGCCTAGTTGCAAGTACATTCTCAACTTCCACTTAAATTAAGACTTTGCAATTTTGTAGATATTCCACAGATCATGCATTTACAGTAGTAGTTTGTCAAACATGACTATCATTATCAGATCTTGTTTTTAATGTTTTCTTAATAGGGTGAATACAATTCTTTTCCTGACTAAAAATTTCCAAATCTTCGTTTAATAAATGGCTCATTATGTTTTTTTTTTGCAAAATCAAAATATTAGAGCACTAACTTGTTAGCTAAGAACACCACTAATCTATTAGCCCTCCTAACGCCTTACATATACTAGGCATCAAGCGAATGGCCACAACGTTTGTTATTTGCAACTCTGCCTCATAAAATAGTTTTTGAGAGAGATATTCTGTAGGTAGCTTTTGGTGTAGTGGGTGACCTCCTTCTGCTGATTTTCGTAGGAAAGAAACATTAGTTCTTATAACATACAATTAAAATACACATTTATTCTTTATATCTAAAAATTTATATTTTAATTCTTATACAAATGTTTTGTTATCTATTACGTTTTAGTCTCTTATTATATTACTGTTTGTTTTTTTTTTGGGTTATATAATAGAGTTAAAAGTAAAAAAGAAAAACCAAAATTAAGTCACAACTTTAGGAGTCTAGATACATAAGCATCTAAACAAAATAAAGATACAAAGGAGGAGGGGAATTATCAAAACACTTAAAAGAAACACACTCCTTTATTCTTAATTTAGCGTGCTTATCAGTATATTAATTATTTTTTTCTATAAATATAGCTAAATCTAACAAACTGAATTAGATTTAACACCTTTTTAAAATAAGTTAACAAAGAAAACAAAGGGAAGAATTGTCTTAAATACATAAAACCAATGATAAGACTTTCTTTGAGTCACATTCAATCCATACAAGGTGAATATTTCTTTGTATGACCAGTTGCACTGCTAGGTATATGACCCAAAGTTCAGTAGCCAAGGATGTACATGGGTCCAGTCTGATAAAAACTAGCAATGAATTGGTCTAGACCATCTTTGATCAGTCCTCCACAGCCTGTAACTCTAGAGTGCTGTGAAGATGAGTCATCCACATTCAATTTTAGTTTATCAACAATAGGAGGAAGCCACTTGATATGAATTATTTGATCAGACAGCCTTGATAAAGTTATGAAGCTGCTTCTGCAAGAAATATTAAAATACTCAGCATCATATAAAACCTTTTGCATCAAAGTTTGGAGCAAGACAGAAGAATTCTGGAAAATAAAAGCATTTATCTCCTTCCGCAAATATCAAATAACAACACCAAACAATATGCTCTAATTAGGAAATTTATTAAAATAATGCTTGAACAGATTACAGCTAATCCATTTTTGAGACCAGAACTGAAAAAAAAAAAAAGTCCAATTATCAGAAAAAATAAAATAGTCCCAATCATATCTAGCATAAGAATCAATTATTCTCCTCAGTATTTTAGCTATTAGCTTAGTGACACCTAATGTATTACAATATTGTCAAATAGCGGCTATTGCCCTGCTATAGCCGAAGCAAATTCTGGGCTTGTCGCTATACAAATGCTGTTACATTATGGGTTTTGCCATTTTTGAAAATCGTGGACGCTATTCATGTAGCAAAAAATTGTATATAAAGCAGAAATATCAAATTGAATAATTTTACAATCGTTTTTGTTTTTATTTTTTTACTAGTAGGGTAACTCCTGCAATGCATGAAAAAATTATTATATCATAATATAATATTATAATTATTAATTATAAAATAAAAAAACAATTTTATAAAATTTTTATGATAATATTTACGCTATTGGATTATTACTAATAAAAAATATTTTTGTTTTAAATTTATCAACTTACTTGCTTTCTTGGGTTGGTGTTAGCTGTAGTAAAAGAGAAGAAATATGTTTATTAATTGTTTGAATAAGTACAGTGTGATTTTTGTGATTACATAAAAATAGAATTGTGTTTTCCAATGGTGTTTTGGATGAGAGGGAAGTCCTAGATTCTATTATTCTAAGGTCCTGAAAATGACTCTCACTTGTTAGTAAGGGAGAAACTATTTTGTTAGCTAATTGGTATTTAAACTCACGAAATTGCATACGTCTTAGCTTTGTATAAATATATTTTTGCTTTTTATTTCTCTGAGTAAGTAATTTTTTTTTCGACTATATGAGTTTTGAGTTCCCCTTAAACTCTCTTTAATAATATATGTTTTGTCTATAAAAAAAACTAATAAAAAATATTAACTATTTAAATAAAAGAAATATAATATATAATTTCATAAAGTTATTTTTCTTTCATATTAACATATTGATATTAATTTAAAAAAGAATTTTTTTTAATAATAAACTTAATTTAAATTTTGAAAATTTTTCTTGTACACTACATTTGCAACGCTTTATGTGCTTTTTCCATCACAATATTGTATAATGATCTTTAATCCTTTTTGATTGGTTACTACATATAACTTTTTCTATGATACACATTACTTTAATGCAGTAGTTTTTCATAATGTGGTATAATATTCTTCCTACCAGTATAATGAATCATTTTATATTAGGATTGATGTATAACTTTGTCTCATTATAAGTTTTTGATATGCTTAAAATTTTTTAAAGAACCATGAAATATAGTTTATTGATAATAATAACTATCACACAATTAAAAGGAGTTCAATATAGATAAAAAATTATACCATCAAATGTTTTCATTTTACATAATTGAATAATCACAATAGGTAAATCATTATGTTGCAATCGAGCGGTTGCAACACTACGGCAAAAAATGTTTTTAAGAAAAATCAGTAGAGTCGCCACTAAGGTTTATCAAAGAAAAGAAGAACTTAAAATTTTGATCTTTGAAACCAAAAATAGATTTGTGAGTCATTTACAAACAGGAAAAATGTTAGTATCTTACAACGTTTGTTTAAATAACGGTTACCTTAAATTAATTATACAAATTTATTATAATTTTGAAAAATATTTATTTAACCCTTAAAAAAAATAAATGTTCCTATTTTTATTTTTAAAGAAAGAAGATTTATTTATTAAAAATGTTAAGTTATATCTTAGAAAGGAAAAAAATATTTTTAAAAATTGTTTTGGCTCAATGGATATGATTCCACTTCTACAAAGTCACGTAGTTCTATAAAAATGGTAGAATTATTTTATTAATTTATAAGATTTTAAAAGATCTTGTTTTGAAATTTACCATATTTTCTTAGAAAAATAAAATAAAAATTGTTTAGATTTTTGAGAAAACAAGATAGTGTAGCTATACATGTTACCTCATGATAAACAATACAAAAGTTGAAGGAAGATCACACAGTCATGTTGTAAGTCATTGTAAAAGTATAATAATTAAGACCAACTATTTAATTTACAAAAAAATATTTTTATAAATAATTTATTTCAAAAATGTTAATATCGAATAAATTTAAGATAGCGTAAGCTATACATAAATATCTCATGACTAATCTATCGACTAAAGGCAATATAAATCGCACATCTATGTCGCATAACATTTTGTTAAAATTTAGTAAAAATATTTTCTTAAAGTTGGAAACATAATTTAAAATTTTTAAATATGAAATTAATTTTATTTAATAAAAAATATTTAAAGAAAACAAATTAATATATTTAAATTGATTAGTAAAGATAGATGTTTATTCGAAGGAAATTAAAATATATTTTTAACAAGTTTGTATTGCGTGAGACCAAGATAACGTTGCTATACGATGACGTTATAAACCGCTGCATCTATATGATTTTAATTTAATTACTCAGTTAACATATGATTATTTAATAATTTAGAAAATAAATTTAAGATTTAATATAAAATAAACCCATATTTATAATAATATATTTGGTTAATAAAGTGAGTGTCTAATGAATAGAATATATTTTAACTTTTAGAAAAAGTATATATATATATATATATATATATATATATATATAAGTGAAACTTAAAATAATGTAAGTATACATAAGTTTCAATAATTTATAACGCGTAAAGTTAGAGTTACTGTACAATGACGTTATTAACTTGTTACATTAATAAATAATTTTGTTTTAACTTAACTTATTAATAAAAGAGATATTTAATTAAATATATTTGGTTAGTTAATATAGCAGTTACTTGATTAATTAGATTTATGATATGATAGATTTATTTAAAATAAGACTTATGATAACGTAGGTATACATAGGTCTCGTCAATTTATAAACCACAACGATAAAAAAGTTATACGTCATGCTATAAGCTAGTGTAAATATTTCATTTATTTGCTTATTTATTATATATTATATGATTTTAAATATAACATAATTCACTAATCATGACATAAAATATAAATTTAAATAATATTACATGAAATAATCATAATGATAATAATATCAAGCAAAATAGATAAGATAAATAAATAGTTAAAATGAAAATAATAAAATAGTGTAAGGAATAAAAATTTAATTTTCATAATCAATTATATTTACTGTAGCATCATTATTAGTGTCATGATAAAAATTAATTTAAATAATAATAATAATAATAATAATAATAATAATAATAACAAAAAAAAAACAAAAAATTAGACTGAAAATAGAAGAATAACACATGCATTATTTTAAAACTTTTGTAAATTCGGAATCCTTCCTTTTTTTTTTTTACAACTTTACATATTACAGTAAAAAAAGAAATTAGTATATAAAAATAAAAGTTTGTATAAGAAATAACTAAAAATGAAAATAAATTTAAGAAAAAAATTTTAATTTGAAAAGTTTAGTTTTTTTTATTAGAAATTAACTTGATTAATTTTAATATTAAATATGTATATATCCTAAATGATGTACGTTACATCCAGCGGGTCTTGTGACTTCTTCTTTCACCTTATCAGCAATAAGAAATCATGGCTTATCAGAAAAGTGGGGGTTTAGGGTTCCATCAAATTCAAGTAGGGAAATGAGACTTTGGCTTCTAAAAATAGAATGAGGTCGACGACAATGAGTTTGTGGTTTCATAAGAGCTAACATTTG